TGTGTAGTAAATTTTAAATAAATATAATGTAATATGTAATTCATAATCATTTTTTTTAAAAAAATATACTGCAAAAGAAAATTTCTAAAGCTGCAGAAATGAGAGCTAAGTTATAAATTAACCAATCAAATCTCTTAAAATCTTCACTATAGCCTTATAGCGAAGTTGATGTCTAGAACATAGAGTTTATTATAACAAGAGTTGACTGTATACAAATAATCAATTAAGTGCATATTATATAAAATAAATGATATTATGTGATATTATAAATATTTTTTATTGTAAAACTAAAAAAAAAATAGCAGTAAATATATTGCCTTAAACTAGAAGAGAAATAATACAGAATTGTACAAAATAAAAAATATTATAAGACATATCTAATATGATTTAACTATAATATATAAAATATTAATCCTTTAAAGGACTAAAGAATTTAAAGTGTAATTTAATTTTGAAGTAAAAATATAAAATCTCATTAATGCATTATTATATCTATTCTGATACATTTAATCGATAAATTTGCTTTATAATAATTAAAAGAATTAATAATAATTCTGTTTAGTCATAGCTTTTCTTATTTTATAACTCTCAATTACCATTCAAGTTATTTCATGAACTTTATATAGAGAAGAATATTAATATTATATTTCTAGAACTATATCATTTCTTCTTTTAACCTATTATTAATCTTTTTTATATTATTTTCCAATTAAATTTTACTTTTTTTCTGACATTTCATTATAACTTTGCTTACTTCTTGAAATATTTTTTAAAATGTTAATAATCCATTTACACTTTCTTTAGAATTTGTTCATTATCTATTTTAAACTGGCAAAGCTTGCATTACCTTTAAGTTATTCTTTCACTATTTACAATTTTAAAAGTGCTATATTAAGATCGTAAATCTTATAATATTAAAATATATTTTGCTATTAAATAATAACAAATAATTTTAATTGCTTTTATTTTTTAAAATTATATTCTAAAATGACCAATTGGTAGATAGTTGTAATTTTATTAATAATCAAATTCAGAAGTATAGAACGCTGACATTATGACAATACTATATTAATTGATTTTATTAAATAAATTTTACATTACACTTACAGCCTTCTGCTTATTATGTTATTATAATAAATATAAAGAACTAGATATAATAATTGCTTAAGGAACAAATTCATATAATATGATAGGAACTAGAATTCTTTAACAATTTCTTTCAAAGTAAGATATAAATTATGAAACTTCACTATCATGGTAAATTTTCAAGTTAGTAGTCAAATACAAAGGGACCAAAATGATTATAAAATATTATGATTCAAGAAATGATCAGAATAATCAATCATCTGACTTTTTTCAAATTATTGTATGTTTAGAGATCTGTTGCAATAATAGTTCATTATTACTGTATTTAATTAATAAATTTGTTTAATTTATTAATAGTTTTAATGAAAAAATTTATTAAAAAAAATTTTACTTTATAACTTTAAAAATAAAATAATATTTTTATTTGTCATTTTTATTATTTGAATTATAATATAAAAAGTTTAAAATTTTGATATAATTCTCTGAAAGTCTTCATTTTTGATTATTAAAAATATTCTTATAAGCTGAATAATTTTGCTTTACATCTACACCTGAAATAAGCAACCAAATATATATTAATGCTATTTTAAATAAAATTGGTAATATGTAATTTTTTCTATCTAATAATGTTTAAATCAAAATCTTTTTCAAAAGGTTCTTTCAGCTTACAATATACTCCAGTGTTGGCCTTTTGGACTAATGGACTTTTAGACTATTGGAGTATTAGATTAATGAATTTAATCCATTCTAATTCCATTAAAATTTGGATTACTGGACTATAGATTTCGTCCAACAACTATAAATTTATGTATAATTTTAGCAATATGTTCATAATTGTAATAATTATAAAATATATATTATATACTAATTATTACTTCATATAATAAAATTTTACAAATAATTAGGCTCTAGCTCAATATAATATCTAGATGTTTTCACTTAGAATTTTGATCTAGCAGGATGAGGTAAATTTGAAATGTTTGTAATATTAATTACAAACTCTCTGTTACCTGAAAATCAAGATCAGTCAGTAGAATCATTATAGTTAAACGATTTTATTATCATTCAAATTTTTAAGTTAGATTAGCATTATAAATTTGGCCAGAATTATAGTATATAAAATTATAATTAGATCAAAATTATATAATCATAGTCCATTTGAATTGGAGTTGGACTAGACATCTCCATTAGGTCTAAAGTCTAATAGTCCATTATTGGGAATTGGATAAGGTCCAATTTTAACACTGATATACTTCCCATTAAATTATTTTCTAGTAATGAAAATTCATTAATTTCTCTGTAATTATTCAAATCATATCGATTACTCTGTACTTATATATATTTTGGATCAAAACATTGAATAGATCTAGAAAGAGAAAGTGCATTATGTCTATCAATATGTTTTTAAATTTAATTAACGCTTGCTTATATATTTTACCAAAAATTGTTTTATAAATAATGGGATCAACTCCTCTTGATGCACATTTCTCAATTAATTCGCACATAATAGTTGATCTTTTGTACCATTTTCTAGTGATATACGTGTATAATCTAATCTTGAAATCACATATGCAATTGAATGAGATTGTATTTTAAAAATTATAAATCATTTACCAATCTAAAATAAATTTGTTAATATACAAATAAAAAATTATTCAAGGTAAATATAATAAATATAATTAAAATATTACTTATCGTTGAAGTGACTGCGCTAAAAATAAGTCATGTGATCTAAATGATCAACATAGTTGACGAAGTTCAAATAGACAAAATGAATTATAGTTATCATCTTTATTAATTATATCTTATTTATTATATATATTATATTTATCATAGTTATCTTATTTATTCTTTTTATTATATTTGTTATAGTTAATTTTATATTATTTTATTTTATATAAATATCTTGTATTTTCTCTTGAGTTGAAAAGTAACTTAAGTTAAGGTTTTAGGAAAACCAAGAGTTCAATAAAGAAATCGTTAAATTCATTTACTATTGCCTTTTGCTATGTCTTCATATAGGCGTGATTGTGATATTATCTTGTATTTAATTTGACGGATTGAATTAAAAGTTTATCGTTTAAGTTTACAGATACCAAGCTAACACTGTTTAGCATTATTTATAATAAATAATGTTAAAATTTCAAAATCAAATTTATCATCACGAAAAATTTTGAGCTAATTTCTTAATTGTATTACTATTATTATCAATTTTTTCTTCTTCTTAATAGAAAGTAATAATAAAAGGAATTTATTGATTAATCCAAAAAACAAACTTAAATCATGAATTCTATCTAGTTTTATCAGGTAATGGTAGCAAAGTTATATTAATAGTTGAATTCTCATTTTGGTTAAAATTAAATGGAAGTGATTTGCATTTAAAGAAAGATGGCTAATCCATCTTCGTTTACGTGATGAGTAATAAGTAAAAGAAGCTTTAATTAATATAATAATATTATTTAATAATTTAAATTGAGAATGATCTAACCAAGTTCCTCCCAATAAATTATAGATATGCGCTAAACATGCATTATAATATATATTTGAAAAAATGGTTTTAAATTCTAAAAGGACTTTATCATATAACTTGCATTATCAGAAATATAAAAAATAACATCTTCTTAAGAAATACTGTCATAACCAACTGCAGAAATAGCAACTAATTTTGTTTGATTCTTAAAACTAAAAAAAATATAACAGCTGCTCTACTACAAATATCGGTTGTTTCATCAACGTAATATAAATTCGTTTTCCTAATAACATTATTTTTAATTGATTTATTTCAGATTCATAAAACATTGGCAGATATTTTTTTTGAATCTGATTAACACCAATCATAGTACCGTCTAAAAGAATTTGATATACATAAATATTATATTTAAAAAATAGATTAATAATATAATTTATATTATACCATAAATACAATATTATAGAATTTTAACTTTCTAAATTTAATTGTTCACTTTTAGATAAATGAGAAATATTGTATAAATTTTGCGAAGAATTATTTATATTAGTTTGCCGATTTGCTTTTGCATTTTGATGTTTTAATGAAATAAGATGATCATTAAGTATAGATTTTTTTCTATGATTTAAGATTATTTGACAAACTCAGCACATTAATGAAGTGCCTTCAACATAAAATTCGCGTTCATATTCTATTGTTGAATATGGACCTTGTAATCTATCATTTGCAGTGACCATTTTTTTTTAATTTTTTTAACAAAATTATTGACAATTTTTTTGTTTTCATTGAAATATTTGAAATTTATAATCAAAATATTATTGTTAAAAGTAAACACTGCAATTTGTTAAAACCGTTATTGTTTATTTATTCTAATTTTATTATTTAATTGTTTATGTGATATAGCCAATTATATTACCAATAGATTCTGCGGATTCTGCTAAATCAGAAAATCAGCTTTTCTGCTTAAGTAGTCAGATCTGCACAGATTCTGCCACCGCAGATTTCTAGATACACTAGTTTTGAGTAATCCTGTACTCTATGTAATAATAGGATGATGTTTTACATAACTACCCAAGAGCACCACCAAAATTTTACGGTAACGTGACTTATTATGGACACTTAACCAGAATTAAAAATTAAAAATGCGATACATAACTGATGACAAATAAGGATTTCACACCAAAAAATATTCTAAGTCCCTAGAATATATAGTTAAAATGAAACAGGGAGGGTGTGACACCAAGTAACAAATAAATTCAGGTTATATTACTATAAAATTTTTGGTGGTACTCGTGGACTAGTAGTTTTGCATTATATATCATATGATCGACTGTGTCATGTTTTTTATACTGTATGTTTCTGAGGGACTTAGTTTTTTTGGTTAATCTAAATCCTATTTATAACATATATATTTATCACATTTCAATGATAGTTGGGATGAGTTAGGATGGGTTTATATTACTAAAAATAATAAATATATGTTACATTACAGGTGCAGGATAACTGCTCTGATGTTTCAATCTATGTGACTATATGAGTATACAATTTTCCCAATAATTCTCCTAGGTAGTTACCAGAGAGATAGTAGAATTTATCATTAGTAAGGCTTTCCTTTCATATTTTTCGTCACAATAATAATAACCTCTATCATTCATCTGATTCATCTGGCATCTCTTCTTTAGAATTACTAGAAATATTTTTATTGTCTAACTTAACTTCATTCGCCTCTTATCAAAATATATATCATTGTAATCATTTACCTAATTGCTATGCAATCCCTTAGCTGAAATTACTACATTTGACTACGTTTTGTTTTGTCTCTCTTTTCTATCCTAGTCTTATCCTCTTCAAAAACTTATATGAACATTTTATCAAAATCATTTTTAAGTGTAATTAAAAGATTTACTTATGCTTCTGATGCATTAGTCTGATTAGTTTCTAAGCTAGAAGAATCAGATTCAGTGGATATACTTATCTCAACTTCTGGTAGTTTATTCTCCTTTAGTGAAGAATCAATAATAGAATTATCCTAATTATTGAGTAATTCAGTATCAAAATTCTTGAAAAAATAGTCAATAATGATTTGGATTTGACTAATAAATATTTCTGCAATAGAATTTGCATTATACATTTTGATATATTTGATTTTATCAATACTTATTTTTTTGATTAATCTATAAATCTTTCTAGCTTTACAGATGCTTTAATATAAAATTACTCATTTGATATCAGTGCAAGAATAAAATTGTAAATCAGTCTTTTGGTCTTTTATACTCACCTTTCTTTGATCATAATTTCATCTACAGTTGAAGCTCTCTATAGCGAATTTCTATATTCTAAATTTTTTATTACTGCGAACTATATAAGTAATCCTAAATTTTATTAAATAAAATAATTAAATATAACAAATTTTTATAATAAAACTTACTATTATATATAACAAATTAAAGATCTTGCACAAAGTATAATAAAATAAAACTTTTGTTAATGAATTTTTTTTATAACGAATTTTTATATTAAATTTAAGGGATATAACGAATTTTTTTTCTTAAATTACTATTAAAGGAAATTATACATTGTAAAATTTCAATAAAGTATAAATTAATATCATGTAATTTTTTTTTTGATTAATCATTTATTGTTATTAAAAATGCCTAAAGAAAAAGAAAAAAAATTCTTTTAAAAATAAAGAAAAAACTTTTGAAATAAAATGAACTAGAGCTTTCCTTATAGGTATTCAAAAACAGGAAGTTTGTTTAAAAAAATTACAAAAACTAATACCTAAAAATAAGGAACTTGCCCAAGAATTTAATGTTTTAGAAGGAATAATATGTGATATTTTAAAAGAAAGTGAAAAATGGTTAGCTTTAAAACTGGAATCTTATGAAGCTTCACTTAAAAATCAAATTAAACTAAATTTTTCACAAGTTGAAGAAGCTTTAAAGCTTTTGGGTTGAAAAAGTAATAGATAATAATATTACTATTAATGGTAAATTGTTAGCATAAAAAGCACATAATTTTACAACCTTACTTGATGTACAAGACTTTAAAGGATTAGATGGATAGAAGGCAGATTTTAAATGATATCATAATCTTGAATGCTACTTAAGACATGAAGAGGCAGCAAGTACTTCTTTAGAAGATTTAGATGATATACGTAAAAATCTTCAAAATATTCATATAGATTATTCACCTAATAACATATTTAATGTGAATGAAACTGAACTTTATTGGAAAATGAAGCCAAATTGTATTTTATCAACTAAATCAAATAAAAAATTAATGTTAATTAATGTAAATTAATATAAATAATTATATAAAAAATTAAAATAATACTTATATTAGTTGCAAGTCAAAAACAATCTAAAGAACATGTTACTGTAGCATTGTGTTGTAATGCTTCAGGAACTGGAAAGATCAAGGAAGTTTTTATTAGAAAAAGTCAAAATTCACGTGTTTTAAAACATATTTCAAAATCATCACTACCTATACAATATTATTAGAATAAAACAGCTTATATGTAAGTTAGTATCTGAAATGATTGGTTAAACCTTTTTAATGCACCTCTAAAACTTTAGAATCGTCATATAATCTTACTTTATGATGATGCATCTACTTATATATTATGTGAAGATACTACATTTTCTAATATTCGTCTTCATAAGTTACCTTCTAATATAACTGCACATCTTCAACCATGTGATGCTAGAATTATTAGAAGTTTTAAAGTAAGTAATTTTAATAAAATTCATATTATAAAATAAAAAATCAACTTATTAATACATTATTTATTAATAAATATAGGCACAATATCGGAAGTTATTTTTGCAAAATCATATTAAAGCATTTGATAATAATCAAGAAACTGGTCAGCCTATACCTGAAATTACAATAAAAAAAGCAATTAAATATGTAGCAAAAGTATGGGATTTAGTTCAACCAGAAGTAATTGTAAATTGTTAGAAAAAAACAGATATTCTTTCACCAAATACTGAGTATGATAAAAATATTGATGTTGATAATTTTGTTAATTTTACAGATTTTGATGAATATGATGAAATTAATAAAATACAAGATTTTATTGATCAATTAACTTTTAATATATACGAAAATCCAATTTCTGCTAAAGAATATTTACAATCTGAAAAAGAAGAAACAATTCATCAGATGATAACTGATGAGGAAATTATAGAATTAATGAAAAAGCTAGAAGAAGAACCAAATAATGAAGAACCAAAAATTCTTATTATCAGTAATTATGAAGCATTAGCAGCACTTAACCAAATAATTATATATGTAGAACAAAAATCTGATAAAATTAATTTTCAAAAAATCAAATTCAGATAGTAAAAAAATTACAAAAGTGGTAGAACGAGAAGAATTCTAATCTAAACAGCAAGTTACGTTAGATTCATATTTAAAAAATATGAATAAGGCTAATACTAATAAAGAATAGGATATATTTGACAAATTGAAAAAATTTTTTTTAATTTTTTTTTATGATTTTATTATAATAAAATTATGCTGAATTTATAACCAATAAAAATTGACCTTCTGAATATATAATAAAAATGTAAATGCGTCATGATTTTTTATTATAATTATATACTAAATTTAGATATGATATTCAGTATTACTTTATAGCGAATAATCTTTTAAAATTTGGTGAGATATTACTGAATTCTTTTATTATAACGAATTGTGACCTCTAAAAATGAAGATTCGCTATAGAGAGCTTTAACTATACACTTTTATCTAGTTCTATAATAAAATTACACAGCAGCATAAAATTTCTGCCTGATTGACTTTTATCATTTCATTTTTGCATTACATATATCTTTATATAAGCAGGCTATATTTTTTAATATATCTGAATTTTTTTGGTAATTATTTTCCTGATGGTCTGTTAGCGAAAAATTCATCATGTGATTTTTATCAGATTCATTGATGATAAAATCAAATACATCTTACATGATATTTTCACTTCTTTCTTCTTATGTGATTGAGCTTCTTTGTCTTATTGCTAGTCCTGAAGTTTTTTTCACAGTTTTTAAATTGAAGATTCGAAGACTTTAGATGAATTATTTAGGTAATTATCACGTAATTCTACTTTCCAGAAATTGATTCTTCTAGCAGTATTAGTGAAATAGATAGCAGGATGATTTTTGTATTATCTGATAATTTCGATTCATACAGAAGTTTCTTCTTCTTATTATGTTACTTTATCTCATTACTAATCTTTTTCTTATATTTTGAGTTCAAGAAATCATCTATCACTTTATCCTCTAATAGTTTATTATTATATGATTTACTTAAACAATTCTGGTCTGTAACGGAATTGAAGTTAGATAAACTGTTATTAGAAGAATTACTGTATCTTATGTCTGACCATGATCCTGTTCTAACTTCATAAATCTATCTCTAAATTCAGCATTCTCAGACTCAAATAATTGAGTTTAGTAATAGCTAATTTATAGTTCTTTAGCGTAACTATTTTGGCATTAAGTTTACTATTTTTAGCTAAAGAATCTGCTATAGCTTTTATTAACTTGTTGTTTCTGACATTAAGCTCCTGTCTTAACTCCATATTTTCAGCCTTGAGTCTAGTATTTTTTTGCTTAAGTAAGTCAATCTCAGATCCTATTTTCGAAAAATTTTATGCAATATATACAATTATTTAAAGTAAAAAATATGTGATTTTCTAATGACCTGTTAACGAAATTTTGTCAAGAATTTTTTATTAATACATATAAAAAAATAGATACAAAGTTCAGGACATTATTCATAATACAAGAAGTTTCTATACTAATGTATATGATTAATTTTTCGAATCTATTTTAACTCTCTTATTCTTAGAAGATTCATCTGCATATGCTCTATACCCCTATCTCTTATTAACCTAATGATTATATTTAAAATCTTTCTTATACTATTACGCAATATTTGATATTCTTCAGAACTTTTATTCAATGTCTTCTTGTTAAACTCAATTGTATGAAAAATTTAAATTGCTTAACTAATCACACCTAAACTATAAAGTAGCAAATGCTAATATCTAGCTTAAAGATGGTCCCCATAATTATTTTCAAATTTCAATTGAGTTGCAACTTAATTGTGCCATAAGGAAATTTAATTGCGCCACAAGTTGCAACTCAATTGCGCTATTTTTTTTAATTGCGGTGACCATCTTTAATCTAGCTGATGTTACAATACATAGGGATAATTGAAATTATTATTATCATCTGTTTTTATTTTTTCTTGTTTATTTCATATGAACTCTCAAGTTATTTGATATTTTGAGTGAAACCTTCGAGTATACTATGCTAGACCTTGTCTTCAATGACAAATAAGATTCTTAGCTTCCTACAATGAAAGTATAGTATTAGTATATCACTAAAACTGCTAAGAAATTTGTATGAATAAAATTCACAAAAAAAATCTTATATCTTGATTACATAATCAACTTACTAAAACTTTTATCATCAATTATTTCGTATTCAAGCTTTATACTAAATTTCTTCTTTATAAGGTTTCCTATTATATAAAATAATATATGTAGTATTGTTAAAATATATTCATTACACATCAATTTCAAGTTATTTATGATCAAAAATTCATAATGTTTCATCCTAAAAAAATATTTTTCACATAATGCTTGAAGTGCTTATTTGAGTCTTGAATTTCATGGTTTATAAAGAAAATAATAGGATAGTATCTGTACCATTAGAATCAATATCATATGTTGCTAATATTTTATTCAAATTGCGGTATGAAGAGAAAGGGTATTTCGTATTATTTTTGAAGGTCTTAACCTCTTTGTAAGAAGTGTTACTGATCCATCTTTTAATCTATAACTATGTAATTTTTTTTTGATCATATCAAGAAAGAAGAGATCAGTAATTTCTTCACATGCAAAGAATATTATTGTATTTCTTCTCAAGTTTGAGATCCTATTCTTTTAGATGAAGGATAAAGTATTTATTGTTCAGTTCTTAACCAAATAAGAGTCATATTCAACTGTTAAAGTAAATATAGTGTTTTTATAGTTTAGTAAGCTCAAATAAAAAATGTGTTACATTCCAGAATGAGAAAAAATTTATTTCTGAAAAAAAGGCTAAGCATTAATATAAGGTTTACATTACATAGGCATTATATCATTATACGTATTTTTAATGAGAAATACATTCTTTATTGTTTATGAAATAAAAATATTGCTAAAACAACTGGTATATAAATAAATTTGTAAATATATAATACAAGAAAATTATTATTCAGAAGCAAGAGAGGGTAGACAAAAATATGGATCAAATCTTCATTAAGATTCTCAAAAAAATATACAAAAATCAAATTCTCTGATTACATACATCTTCTTTATATACATACTGGTTAAATAAATTTGTTAAAGATAAAAGTTATAAGGGTAGACTAAAAGATGAAGTGCTAATATGACTCTAACTCTATTCAAAATAGCAGAGACATAGTCATTCTTGAAAATATCAATCATAAAAATCACATTTATATTTTGATTATTGCAGAATTGAATGTTGAGGCCTATTATTATTTTCAGTGGTAGATATTTTACTTCCTAAATTCATGAATCTATAGTAAAAAACTTTATCATATATAACTTCTGATATATACATATCTTAAAGTTTTACGGGAAAGTTAGCTGAACTTCTACATACTTTTACATTTTTATATTTTATTAGGAAAAAGTTAAGAAGATATGAAATGTGATTAGCATTTGTCATATAATACTAAGAGCTCTATGTCTATGAAAGCACATGTAAATAGATTCCTCATACCTTTTCACATGAAGATCTAATTATAAGACACAAACTTAGTTTTATATCTAGCAATCTCAAAATTGCGAAATTCTTAGCCTTTATAGCATATACTTTTACTGTCAGTATTTACTTTTACAGTAGGTCTTATGTTGCAACTAGATCTCCTTTCACATTTTTTTCTTATGTTTGTTTGAGAAAAAAAAATAGTACTTTTCAATTATATGCAAAAATTATTATATATATTGCATAGACCTATTCTGTAATTCACCTATTTTTTGTCATACAATCTGTGACTCAGCAAATTTTTTTGAGCTGATGATCATCACTTCAAACTATTAATCTAACCAATCTTAAATCAGAATACCACTGCAAATTACCTTACATACTTAAATCTAAGAGGCTCTAAAGACTCTAAACTAAAATCTGTCTACTAGCAACATTGTTCTGTGTAAGATAATTTTTAACCAGTTTAATAAGATCAGGAGGCATTAAAGTTTTCACAAAATTCTCTATATAAATATTTGAATTTAGTTTATCTACAGCTTCTTTACTAATATTGTAACATCTCGTTAAATTAAGATATTTTAAATTAAGACATAATCTAGAAATTTTTTTGATAGTTATACCAGTAATTTGACAAAAACTAAAGTTGAGTTGCTGGAGCCTTAGACAAGAACAAATAATATTACAAATTGATATTTCAGAAAATTCTGTGT